CAGACATTGATCCAGGCCTTCGGGTGACAGTTCCATGCGCCCCCTAGTTAACGTTGGTTTGATTTACTCGTCTTTTAAATGTTTCCACAAACGTAGTTAGAATCCTGATAACATTATCGTTAAAGATGTAAATGTAAGTATGACAATTTCGGACAGCGTAATCAATTGGCTGCAATTGTGATGATAAATTAGAGTTACAATATGACAGGCATTTTTGCAGCGGCAGCCGAAGAGCAGAAAACTTGTTAGGCAAAATTGAAGTGAAACGCGCTTCAGATGCTAGTTTGTTGATCAGAGATAACGTTATCATATGTTATATAAATGTTCCCCCCGAGTGAATTTGTGGGGTTGTGTTAGGCAGTATCATAAAAACAGCTGATATTCGTCGATAAATATTTGCAGTTTTCCTAATTATGCGATGCTGTTGAACTTTCATAGAACATCGGGTTCTGTAGAGCACTTGTCTGTGTGCCGGGGCCAGCCGTCTGAAGCAGTGCTTTCAACGGGAGAATGGGCCGTAAAGCTCGAACTATTCATTTGGAATGGACGCAACTAGAGCCTAGCGAAAGAGTTCGTAGGTTATCGGTTGTTAGAACAGGTAATGTGGCCAATTTAAGGAAATAAATATAGATCAAAATATAAATAAGAAACTGATTTTTTATGACTGAAGCGAGATGGATTCAAACTAATATGACCCTCTTCGTAAATGAATTGTGTCAGATTTTTTTAGTATAAAAGAACGGCCCAGTTAGTAATTATCTCAACAAACAGAACAACAAATAATTTCATTAGAAGCGATAATACTACCAACAATTATTAATGTTAGTTTAATGGTTATTAGTTAAATTATGATAACTATATAACCTATAAATTACTTGAAAAGAACCCCAAACCACACAGGTATAATAAACGATAGTCGTACAATACACATGAGTCGTTAGCAATTAATCTAGCTGATTAATCTGTCCTTATACAAGGACACAGCCTTAACCAAACCGCATTTCAGGTTTCATTTGAAAACACAGATGCAGTAGAGAGTATGTGTATGTGCTATAGCAAAAACTTCCTCAGGAAAAGCTTAGGACATTTCTTTCCACGTGTACTTCAAGTTTAGCTTCGCGTATAATTGCGACTCCGAAGCTTAGATGTTCATTTTAATACACATGGAATATCGTTAATTTGGTAAAAATCGGAATTTGCTTTAATCCTGAAGCTAAATTGGTGCTTCTTTAAGCCGTCCCCTACCATAATGATATTTAGCCGATCTGAACGGGCTGAGCTGATCTGTTATTGGTAAAAAGGTCAACGTTGAAGTAGACCTTTTGGAAGTTTTGTAGAAATCAACATAATGGTATAGGTTCGCCAACAGTCTACACTGGAGTAAAGTGTTTTGTAATTGACAAATCGGTTTGAGTAGATTTCTGACTAGAACTGGCTTAATATGGTACAGACGACAACAAACACATAAAATAGGTAGAAACATGCGCTTATTGAGCGTACGCCGCTAATCGTATAACGCGTTTGCCATATCATGAGCAATGTCATGAACTCGTTCGTACCCCAATTTTGATTCCAGTCCTGTGAAAGTTATGCTATAAAAACAAGTAAAATCATCCTAATCAGCACAAATCCCATATCTAAAACAACGAACTTCTATGGATGATGCTTTTTATTTGCCATCAACTAGACCAATTAACAAAACGGTATCTACCGAACGGAAGACTAATAAAGTGCGCACATCTCGAAGCGCAAGATCCTCAATATTTTCAAGGCCTTCTTATGTTCGATAGGTTGCTGGAAATTCCTAAGGGTAGAGTTGATTGGCATTAGAATATGCCCTTCAGGCCATACGATCATGTTGTGTCTTAGCCACCCATTTGCCAGCGTACGTTGAATCAAAATCCACGATACCTAATGTAAACGTTTTTTTTTTGTGAGTTGTGTATTACCTATGTTGTGCGTGAATAAATCTGGTGATTGTCTCGCCTTATAGCACAACTTAAATTACTACGTTAGAAAATTTTACTTCATAGCTGTAATTATTAGAATAGAAAAATCGGCTCAATGCTAGAAAGTAAAGAAAACCTTTTTCTTTCTACAATAGGAAAATATATAGGGTTGTCAAAAAGTTGTCAAAAAAGTACAAAATTGAATATTTCAAAACAGAATTAAATATGCGATGACATTTTTTGGTAACAGCATAATTCCCTTACTGTAGAATTTCTACAGCTTCTACAGCTGGGCGAAAAATTGTGACAAGTAATCCTTGCATCCCTTCATTGAAGAAGTTAACAGTAAACAAAACAGAAGATGAAGTAGATAGATAGATAGTTTGAGTCTCTCAGTCCTCACCAAATCGTCATTTGGCGTTGTCATGCTAAGGGATGACACCATTTCTACTCACTATGTCTCATTGTAATCACTCGCTGACAGTAAAGGTCTGAAACGATCGTTTTTGCCAGCCGGCAGCAATTCACAATGCACGATTCCGTTCCGGTCCCACTAAATACGTAGCATCACTTTGTTTCGCGTCAAGTTGGCCAAGTCGCGCCACAAAGTGTGAAGCTCAACGTCCTTTATTTGCATATTGTTGTTTATTATTTATGACGCACCGTTATTCAAATGGATAGACATCATTGCGTTTCTATAAAACTACACAGGTGGAAATATAATCAATTAAATTGCTCCGCGTAAATTTATACGGCACCCAAATATTAGGCTTTTTTTTTTCTTTTCTAGCCGACTTTTCTTAGATCGTTCAAGTTGGTGTAAGACGTGCTTATCCTGCTCAACTTTCCCAATCATTTCATCAAACTACCGTTAGAGGACACTTGCACATTGAAATTTTCAGATCGAAAACGACAGAATCGTTCTCGATCAGTCTGTTAGAATATGTTTTTGTGAATCAGGGCAGCATCTGTACCTTTATGTCGTAATACAACTGTAAAATATAACAATTCTTACTAAATTTTCTTCCTCTGTCTTATGGCCGAATAAAGGCGTTCCAGCGATGTTAGCGCATCTACCACTGCCAAATCTTAGCTTTAAGACGTCACCGACCGCCGATTCGATGCGACGCATATTATCTGAGATATAGGATTTTAAAACTATCTGTCTGAGAACTGGTTAATATTCTTTCAGCAGCCCAATATATATAATGCGGTCCCCAACAAAGAGATTTACAGTAGAGAGAGTATATGAAACGGATCCAATCAGAGCAACTGAATCGCCCAGTTATTATATATATATATCACATGGAGCCGACGGGTGTAGCATGACAATTACGCCGAAGCTCAACTCTAATCTTAAGCGAGCAAATTTGAAAAAGATACAACAGGATAAGGATACGCAGAGTCCAGCGCACGTCTATGTACATACAATTCAGTCCAGGCGCAAAAATCAAATCAAATCAAAAAGTTTATCAACCTGCGTACTCATAGCCGCTAATGTAGGTGGATTCGTAGTGCGATTGGGTAGCACAGAAAGGTCAAATGGTGATGGGAGACTGTTGAGCTCCGAACTATTCAAATTTGAACAATATATGGTAAAGAGGTCATATAAAAGTTATATGAAAACAGTATCTCTCCGTTGGCGGGCTGTACACGTTATAATGAGGTACATCCAAAATACCCCCTAATTATGCCGAATTTCGTTTCAAGCACTGTTTGTTACATTCAAAATATAATAGTTTTTATCAACTACTATTGAAAATATTCAATATGATCTTGTAGACTAGAACATAAGGATTAGAAGCAAGGTTATAAAAACAAAAATTGTCCTAAGAGCAGGTTCCACGTTGTACTGCACTCCTGTTGGTCCACAATTAGCCAATTGAAGTACTGCGGAAATACCCTGCTAATCATGTGCAACTAAGTGCGTCAAAAACTAATACATCCTGTACGCTGGGGTTGTTTATGTTTTTAAGAACGAACAAGCAAACACAGACTGCGAGGTAGAAATATTAGTTTTAAAAGGGCGAGGTTCTCCCATATAAATGATCACTTTGCCAAATGCGCCCTCAAATACTATTAAACTCGAGAAATGCTTCATAGTATGTAAAAGATTACTTCTGCGTTTTACATTTGCATAATGTTTTTGTCCGCATAATGGATTACGACATATTACCATTTTGTTACCTTGATCGGCCTGGATTTGGTACTTGAATCAAATTATAAAATCTGTTACGGTGCCAGTACGTTTATTAAGAAGATCAACGAACTTTATTGGACCTGGACCAATGAGGCATTTAGCGGTAATAGGCGGCCGTTTTGTGAAATTTCAGTCTACAAAAAACAACTATAGATATTTAAAATCTGACGTGATCTCTATGCCTTGATCTGTGGTTCGTTTCATAGAATACTCTCTCTATCCTGTCTTAAAATATCATTAGGGCGGATCCACAATACATCATAGTAGCCAGCGCATGGTAAAAGTAACAGAAGATATCACTCATTATCTAGAAGATATGTTGAATATAAGATTGCTCCATATCGTGTTTTTGAGTTACAGAATTGCTCTCGTAATTGCATCGGATATGGAGTAGCACAATTTAATAAAGTGCGAGTTAGACATCACCACAAAACTAAGTGGAACATTTTAAGAATTAGATATTGGCGTGCCAAAAACCAAAGCAGCATATACTACCTACGTATTACAAAGCGATAGGTCATAAGGCTTTATATGTTGAAGACAGACATACACCATCTATGACTAATTAGCCGCTTTTGGAAAAAAATAGCATGTTTATTTATCAAACTTTTCTTTAGCTCACGGTATACAGTACTGGAATTATGCGCAAGTTTCTTTTTGACGATTTGAAAAAGTGTTTGGTATATGTGTATATTAGAAATATTAAGATAAAATAGAGCTGGATTGGCGGGCTTTTGTACGCTGTGTCGCCTCATGGCTTCACAGACAGAAATCACAGTCGCCATCCAGCAGCTAGCCACGATGGTCACAGCGCGGCAGGCTAGCCAACAACAACCATTCATTCATAAAGAGAACCCTCAGCGATAATCGTCGTCTGCTAGGCGCCGACCAACAAAACGTTTCGTGTAGTGCTAGTGAGTAATAGTGAGGGAAAGGAAGTTCGTGCATGCATGAGGAGGAGACACAATAGGTGAGGAGCTCAACAGAGCGCAGGTACTTCGACTACTAAACGAAGACAACAAAATGTTCAAAAAGTTTACTGACAAAGAAAATGTGTCGGGAGTTGTTCAGCTGAAAAGTTCGGTACAGAAGGCAATTCGCACAAAGATCTGTGAGCAGTTTCCGCTCCTGAGTGACCAAGTTCGTGACGAAGTATTATCAAAAAAAGACCAACTTCGAATCGCCAAATGTCATGAGCATATCGAAATTCTTATAAATGGGCAAGGCGAACCGTTGTTTTTCCGCCAACGCGAAGGACCGTATTTTCCGGCGCTGCGCTTGTTGCACAAGTATCCCTTCATATGCCCCTGGCTGCAGGTAAATTCATCGTCACACAAATCCCAACAAGTATCTGTGAAACAAAATCATTAATAATATAGCGAAGTGTGGCCCATCTATATGCATGTGAATTTCACGTGTATCATAAATAAATTGTGGCCTTTAAAATCAAAGCGGACTCTACTGATTGTGAAGCGAAACGTGCAGCTGCCTGATTCGCCGTACAAGCGAAGAGCTTAACGTCATCATGAAATTGCTCTGAGATTGGTTTATGCTACTGCGAATGTAATAGTATTTAATTGCTATGGGCTTTTCAAATTGCTTTTGTTTTCCGCTTGCGAAGTTTTTTTTTATTAAAATTTTATTATTTAATAATGATATTTTTGTTTCAGTTACGTTCGTTGACGGTTTCCAAATGACAGCTAGATTAGTTCTAAACTGCATTCTTGACTCAACAACTCTCAGAATTTGATTGATGTTATGTATGGTTATTCAATGGTTATACATCAAATTTTCAGGTGGATAAAGGAGCGATTAAGTTCGTGTTATCTGGTGCAAATATTATGTGTCCAGGCCTCACATCTCCGGGTGCTAAAATGACTCCTGATCTCGACAAAGATACTGTTGTGGCCGTGATGGCAGAAGGTGAGTTTTCCGATTTGTGAGCGGACTCGGCTGTATCTCTTATTTTGACTTAGTTATCTGTGGTGCATTGCTATCTTTACTTGACCCAAGGTTAGGCTTATTTCAGATTCAACGGCGTAGATCGGGCACGAATATACGAATATTTTATTACGATAAGCTTTTTGAAGATAAACGACGAATGTTTAACATAAAATAGAGTGTGGGTAGGGCAAATTCAAAACAACCAGCCAAAATAAAAATTTCGATCTATACAGGTAAGGAGCACGCTTTGGCAGTGGGCCTTACATCATTATCGGTGGCAGATATCGCAGCTAAAAACAAAGGCATCGGAGTAGAAAATATGCACTACCTCAATGACGGCCTTTGGCAAATGAAACCTGTCAAGTAAAGAATCATTTGCCAAATTGAGTGAGTGTTATTTCCGGGAAATCGAAACACCGAAGGCGGTCTAGGACAGCAGATTGAATAGAAGGGGGGTCAACATACATAAAAGGAACTGGGCCCTGTACGCGTTACAAAGTTTTACACAGTATCCTTTCTGAAGTATGGGTGGCTGAAATGAAGGAAAAAGACCCAAGTCTCTTTTTCTCGGTGGTTGCTGTTGTAACAGAACCGTAGTTTCCAGTACTGGAAGCAGGATAGCATGCTGATAGGAGAGAATAAATTACAATCCCAAGAGCAAGTCATAACTGAGTACATGTGTGCATGATTTGCTAAGACTGATGTACAATGCACAAGCAAAAATGCTAATGATTATAATAAATTACTGTTATTTAAAAATAACGAGAAAAGCTGTTTTGTCAATAATAAGATTACATTAATTTTTGAAGGTCAGGACGAAAAAGGTCTTCCATAAATACAGTCATCATGATGTGCCCGTATTTATAATTACAAGGTAGTATTAACCCAATATTATTTTGGAAACAACCTTCGTGCTTAAAATAGGCAACGAAAGATTAATATGCATGTGATTTGAGGATATACGCTTTAAAGCGCATTGCCTGAAGGTAAGGAAATGCTAATTATTAGTCACTAAGAATTGTAATTCCAAGATGAATTTTTACCTGTATAGAACGTATCGATTTTCTAAGTTTTCTCTGCTAAAATGAACACCCATCGCCGTAGCAAGTATTCTGAATATGCTAAAAAATAACAACGGGTGCTAGAACTTGGTGGTCTGTAATAATTCTACCTTTAGCCTATAAAATACATTAATTTATTTGTAATGCATTTATGTAAGATATTATAGGAGTACTAAAGGAAACCCTTCTATATGATAGGTAATACCTGCAGAGCGGTGATATTTGGAAGCCCCGTAAATCCATTTTCTTCAATTTGCTGAAGTCTCTTGTTGTTCCGAATGGATCTGAAATGTTGTATTTGAACAATGCAAGGTCAAAGTTTGGAGTTGCTACATAGTTCAAAAACTTCAATTATCCAATTCAGGTTTATAAGCTCGATAATAAAACGTTCTTTAAATGTTATTTTCCAAATTAGCTCCAAATAAGTACTCGTAGTTACAAGTAAGCTGTCATAGATGAGTTAAAGGCCCAATTTTCGATCTTCTCAATGTGGTTGTGGTTCACCATTCTGAAATTTTATAGTTATGACGAACACATATCTTAAGAGATATTTCTTAATAAGAGCTGTGAAATGTACAATGGCATATATATATATATATATGCCATTTTGTTTTAGATAAAGGGGGTTTTAGATAATCGAAATGTTAATCTTTATAGATCCAAGATAACTATACATTAGTTACATGCAGTCGAATCATATAGACAGTCATTGACGGCAATTTCTGCTGCCGAGACTAAATCGTACCCATTATAATGGATAAAGGATGAGTCAAAATCTGTTCTACAGTTAATTTCTTACAGGTGAGCCGGAAACTGACCCTTAAAAGTGCATCTTAAGATATGAACGATTTTTGCTAGCTCAAATAAACTTTGACCGAGTATTTTTTTATTTCAAACTTAAACTTGCCTGCTTAATCAAGATTCAGCTTTATGTTAATTCTCAAATTTGGTCAAGTCCACTGCGTCCGTTTGAAAGTGTTCTTTGTCGATCCAATAATATGGGTGTCGGCGCATTACTTAGGTTGGAGCCGGTTGACTACTGAGCATATCTAGGAATATGTGTTTGCTGACAATGTAAGCATTTTAGTTTGTAAACGCCCTAAATGAAGTTCTACTTTTATTTATTTATTTATAAGTATTACGTACGTTCACGTTTATATTAAGTACTTGAATGATATCGAAAATATCGAAATTACGTAACGTGTTAAAGCGTATTTTTAATTTGTAATTTCCGAACAATTTCTCGTTCAGTCAAACAACTAAATTAATAATGATCTATTATATAAGATTATGTTCGTATTTATTCAGTAAAATATATATCTTTAACATTAAATTGTGACTTTTTTGCTTGTCCTTTATAATTATACTTTATTGTATGGATCCTTTCCTATAGGAGTTTTCCTTTGTTTTTCGTTTTTGTCAATTTACCGCTTACTGTGCACATCGTTTCAACTTAAAGAAAGCCTTACTGAATGGTACTTAATTAAACTCTACTTCTAGGTTTTCAAAATTGATTTTAAGTGGTAGTAGATCGGTAGGCTGTTCTGAATGGCTAACTGACTAATGTATTAGTCAAGTCACACCAAAATAACCTTTTGTCCGAGAGAACCATTCCAGTACAAAACTATATTTCACCTTATGTATATTTTATGCCACTACCAGCAGCGTTACTAGTATTAAGCACATCGTATCACTGAGTCATTGCCAAGCCAATGTAATTTATTATAAATACTAATCCATTCTGGTATCTAAGGTCGATATACATAAAACCTTTTTTTGAATTAAGTAACTTTCAGTTTAAAAAATTAACGAAGGAACCCACGTTTCATAATAGTAATAATATCTGGACAATTTGAAAAGACAAAGTGTTACTCGTCCTTTCTGTTTTGGCAACCCTTAAGGACGATACGACTCGCAAAAAGTCCACTAAACGTTCACTCATTCGTCTGATTGCGGAGATTTACGATTAGTGCTCCATACGTAATGCTTTGCTCCATTCCTTATCGAATCGATGCCTAATATACCTGGATTGTGCACGTTTAGCTATCACTGTACAACCCGTATAAAAATCATCGTATAAAATAGGACGCTGTCGGTGGTCGTTCACCACGATGTCCCGTAAATTTTATGGCAATAGGTAAATTTAGCTATGAGTGTATTTTATATATAATAAAATCCTTAAGACACATCAAAGCATGTTTAAAAACATCTGCAATCAGGTCGTTTTCGGAACACCATTTGGTACACTGACGACGGTATTTTGCCTCACTGTGCTGTTCGGAAATGCTTACTTGTCGTGCGCAGAGTACATGTAATCGCCGTTAAATGGTATCGATCCAGGCGCTTTATTTATTTTCAGCAAGAATGACCACCTTTATATTTACTCGTGCATTCAGGCGCAAAGTATGTATGATATATTCATAAATCTCACCTTTCGATGATATGAAGTGGTTCGCTCTGCCTTCTTCCGTGCAACGCTCGAACGCTCGAAGTTCTGTATTAAAAAGTGATGCGTAATATACTGTATTTGATTCCACAAAAATATAATCTTACCTCCATATAAACTTCAAGGCTTTAGCAGGTGTTCAATAATTCAATTTAATTGACAACTAACAGTACGCGTTTTTTCTCTGCCTAATAAATAGTATTTCAAACGTAATCCTTGTCACAAAAACTTGGTAGAACCAAGTTAGGAGTGTATATAAAGAAATAATACTATTTGTGATACAGAGTTTATTTTTGGTATATTTCTAATGCGTCTAAAACTTTAAATTATATCGGCATAAAAAGATTTTTTGGATGAGAGCCAGAAGGTTTTGAATGAAGTCAGACACTTCTACCTGTTCTTTTTGAGTGTTTAATTAAAGTAGAGGTATGATATTGCTGCGGCGTCGTCTCTGATTAGAGAACTCAAAATGTTTGTAACATGACAGACTAGTCTGAGCAACACAGATATGGACAAAGTATGAATAATTCTCAGTGGAATATTTCATGATCTGCTGTCACATAAACTGTAGCAATGTTTGCTTGAGTTTACACGACATAGTGTGAATACTGGGTGGCCAAAAAAATATTGATAATTTTTCAGTTGGGTTTTATATATCCCATGTATTATACCCATGTACGTTTCGGGTAAGTGTCATTTGAATTCTAAAATTTAGCAGTTGTAGATACGTTACAATCGTTGGAATGCCTTTATTCATGCCTAAGATAGAGTGCGTTGAAGGTAAATGAAGTTTCTGCAAAAATTCGCTTTGTAACTATATTACGATAAAGGGACAAACGCTGCTTAGGCCCGTAAAAACATTTGTGCTGTTCATGGTTAGGAAGAAGTGGCCCAAAGGCAAGTCTGTCTTTTTGGTTCTGGAAATTTCAACGTGAAAGTGTAGTGGTGAAGCAACTATGAAAAAGGTTGGTAAATTTTAACTTACGAAAGTTACGCACGAAACACACGTGGGTAACCATGCCATCGGCAAGAAACTAAACATCAATTGTCAAATAGTTTTAAATTATTTGAAGAAAGCTTGCTACAAAAGAACTTGAAGTTTGGGTACCATACGAATTGACGTGAAAAAAATTACTTGGTCATATTTGTATTTTGGTAACTATACGGAAACGCAACGAAATCGAGCTATTTCCTGTGGATAACATGTACAAAAAAAAAAAGAAAGGTTGTATAATCTGTGATAAAACCTGAACTGGTGTCGAAGGACGCAATGCTATATGTTTGGTGGGATTGTAAAAAAATCGCGCAATATGGGCTGCTGCCGCGTGGCAAAACAATTGACTCGGATCTCTACTGTCAGCAGCTAGCAGGATTACAACAAGACATTGAGAAAGATCGAAAAAATTGGATCGGAAATTTTAATGGATCCGTTGTATAGCCCGAATCTTGCGACATCAGACTATCATTTAATAGTATTAATTTGCTTCCAATGAAGCAATGCAAAAATCAGTTGGTACAATTTTTCGCTTGAAAACTACAAAAGATCTGCAGTGATGTGATGAATTGCCTTACCAAAAATATAGCGGGTCATCAACAAAAATGGCGCATATTTATATTAGAAATATTGTTTTAAAAATGAAAAAAAAAAACAGCTTCAGTCTTGTTTTAAGAGCCGTCAGTATCTTTTCAACCAACCAATACGTGATGATGTACAAGTAATCTGGTAGTATTGTTTAATTACAGTTGCTTTTCTGGCCTCATTCTTGATGAATCGCCAGAATAGATTCAGGGTTTTCTAAGCTTTCTTTTTGATATTAACCTCAGGACGATGGTCTGTGGCCTGTAGGTATACTTTTCTGACAGCAAACTCTTGAAAAGAAATCTAAGCCATACAATTCAATATTGGCCTGACGTTATCCAATACACCACACAGCATGTGGGCTGGTTGAGTCGTGTCATTCAAGGTGATTCTAAAGGTCGGTCAAATAAGTGAAAGCTAGCCTGGGAGATTTTAGTTCAGTAGCATACGAATAAGCCGCGCGATTGCAAATTTGATTAGCTGTCCATCCGTGGTCTTAGTAGAACTCGGTGAAAAGCATGTACAAGTCTATCCTGTGCATAGGGTTACATAGAGCTAAACAAACCGTCTTACTTTTAAGCCGTTCAGTTAACTACCTAAATTTTGTCAAAAATAACAACAGTTTCATGACTTATTATGTCCGTTCACGGCTTCGTCGTGACCTTAGCCA